GCTGCAGAATGACAACAAGCCCGGCAAAAAGGTGAATGCATATGCCCTGACGAAAAAGCTCAACAGCAAGATTCAAACGATGTCTGCGAAACTCACGGACATCATGGTGTGGTCGAAGGAGGTTGCCGACTCTAAGTTGCTGCCACTTGGTCCTTCGAAGTCAATAATCCGTATAATTATAATGCTTCGCCAGTTTGTGCAGGGTGCCGGTGATTTGTTCCTGCTTTCTTGAAACCTAGGTTTATTATTTAATAATCGGTAATTATATTATGATATATGTCGGTATCACTATTCCCAGGTCGGAGAAGACGAAAGAGGGCTATGTGGAGCAGCTGGGAGTCAAGAACGACGAGATTCAGTCCCTGAAGACCGACATGGAGCAGCACTTCTCCAACTACAGCAAAATCCAAGACAAGGATTTGAGCTCGGAGGCTCGCACTGCGATCGATGAGGCGATCAAGGCAGCAGACTTGGCCACGATCGACTTGACAGGCTGTCTGAAGCCGATCAAGCTTGCACTCGAATCTTGGATGTATTTAATTTTTCGAGTATAGACTTGTAAATCTCGTGATAAGTACAGTACAATCTTGTTATAGTGTATATATATATATACACATACATATATGTAGATATTGTATTATTACTTTATTAATTATACGCACTATCCCAGGAGCCACCGAAGCCGAAGGCCAAGGTCAAGGCCAGATCTCGATGAGGAGCTGCAGTGATTTGTGACCTGCTGCAGGGATCGCAGTGCTTGCTGGGCCGGCAATGTAGCCGTGGGATGGCATGCATGTTTACGGATATCGATGATCGAACCCTAGCTGTGCATGCCAGGTCCATCGATAGGCATATGTAGAATCGAAGTTCATGTGTGCCCTTCCATGCATTTGCCTGTCTAACCTGCGGCTGGTGAGCATTGCTGGATTTTGTGTCAAGCCGGATCCCAACTTGTTTTGGAAGGATCGGGCAAAAACCTGATCGAACACAAGAAAGCCTGAGCACTGATTATTAGGCATTCGCAATATTATCTTCAATTGTTCAAAGGCTTGCTTCAAATGGGGGAGCAACGACTGCCGGGATCGCTCTACATTCCTGGCCGTGTGCTGTCGCGACGAATAAAAGCTTAAGTTTCATGCTGATCGATCTTGATGAGTGCATTGCGATTCACCGTGTTGCTGTCGAGCATGATTCCTCCAATTCCCACTCCCTCGCAGGCGATCTCGCGAGGGCGAGAACGTCGCCTATGTTCAACCATTTGATGCGAGCAGTTGGCCGTGGTGCCACTTGATTGCATATGCCATGATCTGTCTGTTCGCCCATGATCGGTGTTGCACCCCTCGTCCTGACAGGCATCCTTTACGAGTGCCCGCGAGTCGTGCCAAGCCATGAAAGAGGACTGCAGCTCTGTATTTGCAAACGGTGTATTAGAGAACTCATGCGATCATCCAAACACGTGCTGTCATGCTATGCAGGAGATGAGCGGCAATTATGGCATCAAGATGACTGGCCGGTTGGCCAGGCTCGAGGCCGCTGGAGCACATGGGAAATGGAGCAGCAACATACAAAGGGATGTGTTACGGGCAAGCTCCACGGGAGATGATGTGTCTTGCTATCCAATTAATATGAGCGAGAGAGAGAGGGAGAAGCATGCATCGCAAACCCTGCAGTCTGAACGAGTTCGCTTGCCCACGACTTCCCATCCCAAGCTTTTAAATTGTCGTATCACTACTCCAGCCTGAGGTTCCCATCGATATGGTGGATGTGCCCATCAAACCTGAGCGAGGCAAGCTGAAGATGACAACCAAGCCACTTGCCACTTATCAAAGGCTTGTGGAGATTATGTTGCGAGATTGTGCCCACCTGGCCTAGTCCTGGCATGTACGGATCGGGTAGCATTATACGGGGCTCGCAAACACGTTCTCAACTGACAGACCGTTGTATTGGGATTATATATTAGGTCAATGCCTGTGGTCCTCCCGCACAAGCTGCTTCCCTGGCTTCTTCGCATTGGCAAATGGCCGACGAGTGTTATATCTGGTGTTCGTCGTTACTGGGAGCATCAAAAGCACTGGAACACTGGACTAGCAGCCCCTTCGACTGCACACCACCCTCTGTGGATATGGGGCGATGACTGTAGATATGGGAAAAAGTTTAACCAAAAGGTTATGGTTTGCATGATGGGGCACTGCCTGGACAACAACCGGAACTCCTACGAGAGCTGTTTTCCTCTTTGGGTCTGTGGCTGTGATTCCCGATGAGCTTTAGCATATTCGATTTCTTGAATTATATTTACTTAAATTGTATTTACATAATTATATGTATATGTATATATATTATGCGTAATATATACGTGTACTCATGAAACCCCATTCTGAGCGCCTAGCCTTGTCCAAGCTTCATCATGAATCCGAGGAGCTGAGCCTGGGTATGGCTACGATTGCAGCCTACATGCGGCCGGTACCATGGCGGAATGTTGGGATCAACTTAAATTTATGGTTCGAGTAAATTTAATTCGGGTTGATGATGATGTATGCAATAAAGCTGATGATCAGGTGGTGGCAAGCCTGAACCTTCTAGTGGAAGGTGTACCTGTGAGCCGCTCCAACCAGCTTCTGGTCTATGGAATGTGCACGGAAGTACGGGGAGATTGGAAGTGGCAGAAGGACTTTTGGGCTAAACCGAGTATTATTTTTTCAATAGTATATTATTATAGCATCAATATTATCGAACCTGTACGTATATATACGGTGCAGGAGTGGCTGGGGCTGAAAACTGGATGGAGCTCACATGAGCTCTGCCACCAATGCAGGATGACACATACTGCATATGCAGTTGTACCAAGCATCTTGTCTGAGCTACCACGACGCAGCATTGATGACATCCGCCGAGATTGTTTGCACCCGGGAATTACAAGTGTCCGGGTCGCATTTGTTCTGAAAGCCTCAAGCTTATGACCCGAATCGAACAAATCATGATTGCTAATCTGCGACAACATTTTAGCTCCAGGCCCCCTCTTCGACTTGACCGGTGTATGCCCCGCCACCTTCAAGTGGTGCAGCATGCACGTAATCAATCTGGGAATTGCTTTATGGGTGGTGGGCAGCTGCTTCAAGCTTCTCCTTCTGGAGTTTCATGTGTGGGGAGCCGGAACTGATGCAGAGCGACTTCAGACTGCCTTCGAAAACTTTAAGTCCTGGTGCTCTGTGCGAAAGATCCCGCCGCTTTGCAGGGCAACTGGTTACGTTCGATTTTCAGCTCTTGCAATTGCAAGTAATTATTGTGTATAGGCCCTAAAGTATATTGCATTGGGGAGTGCATCGAAATCAAGGAATACACAGCCTCGTTTTACCACTGCTTCTTTGCGATCGCCGGACGGGCCGTACCCTGAATTACGAGCCAAGGCCTACAATGTTACAGACTTGCACATATGAGGGTCCACTTTTCTAAAGTTCGTGTTATATTATAATATAGGACTAGATCTAGATCTATATATCGTATAATTAATTAGCTTAGGCCCGAGTCGTCGTGGCATGGTTGGCAGCCTTTCTTATGGAGCTCTACTTGGGCTACACGTGTGGTGCACCTGAAGACTTGAAGCTGATGGCCGAGTGCACGTATCTCGAATATATGTATATGTGTGTGTGTGTGTATGATCCAAGTCGTGGCTAGAGCGCTCGGTACCGGTTGATTTTTGGGCTAGCTAGCTACCTCGGGATCCGGATGACGGTCGTGATCATGGTACTTACTTATAAATCGTAGCCCAATTATTACTTAATTATCTCGCTACCAATCGATAACCCTTATTGCAGGCATTACCTGGCCTCGTGGTTCAACCATTCCGAAGATGCCGGCCGGTACTTCTCGCATGAGCAGGCGGTCAGTATGATGGAGTGCTGCGAAGCTTGGCTTGATTGTGGTATCAGCTTGGATTCGGAGTTGAATTACCAACGATTGCATTGCAATGATCAGGACAGGTGTTTGATGGCCTACATGATCCTCGCGGAGAAAGCTGCTTCATACCACAGGCCGTTGTGGCCGTTGAAGCCGAAGATTCATGTGTCCAAGATGCAAGAAGTATGTCTATGTAATCCGCAATTAAAGCCATGATCATGATGATGACCGACACTTGGACGATTGAGGCGTGGCAAGAGATTGCATGGCATCAACTGATGCATCGCAACTTGGATCAAACCACTTGCTGAAGCTATGCCGATTGCGATATCTAGCTCCAGCTGCTGCTGTTCTGAGGTGAAGGCTGCAGAATGTATCACTGCTTTATGCAGGAGGATTCCGTGGGCAAGATCTCACGACCTTTAGCTGCAAACGATGTGCTCCAACCCAAATCCTATGCTATTGAATGCAATCCGCTAGATTTCCGAGGACTAGCTGCAGTATGCCACCCTTGGACTCTGGTGGATATTGCTATACGGCGGTGGTACCTGCAACTGGTGTATGGAGATGACAAGCATGCCGAGGGCGCATGATCGAGCCGCGAGAAATGTCGTCCATCCAGGGTTTAAAGGGCCGAAATTGCAGCGGCCCACCCCAAACATTCAGCATGCATAACCGAAGGCCTCCATTATACTAGTTGGCTAAAATCGTAAACGATCACACGCTACAACCCACAATCCAAGGCCTCCATATTATGTTGGCTAAAATCGTAAACCTCAACATGCTACAACCATAAACCCCATAATGAATATGAACAACATTTCCTACTAGAGAGTCCTCTTATGCACATGGGCCGTCAACAGGGGGTCTGTGAAAGAGTATATGATAATCATATCCTTTGGACCCTTGGGGTTACTTCAATGGCAACCCGGCCCAAGACTGTCCATGAACGTCCAATGCCCAATTTGCTAAACCCGGAAAGAGACATCAGTTTCAATATTCGTAGACCCCAACCGGCCAGCGAGACATGCGGAAAACACCTTGAACCCTGAAGCCTGTGCAAGAGTCGTACAGAAAACCTCCCAGAAAGAAACATGCCGAGGGGCGAAGCCGCGCCCGCATGAGGGCTGGGGTCATAGCTGTACCTGGATCTAGCAACTTTCGGCTTTCGGGGTTTGATGAGTCTCGGATCCTTGTTTGGGTTGGTATGGCATTGCAGCGAGGACGTTCTTCGCCTTCACTCCTCCTGCTGCTGGGCAGCTCTCCTTCCTGCTGCTGCTCCTCCTACTGTTACTATATGCCACCTACTGCTGCTACTGCACGAAGATAATGACGAAACTTCAAACGCCAGCATTACTACTGACTCTGTATCCCTGCTTGGAGCTGCTGATCCAGAAGATTCGGGGAAAGTCGTAGAGTCTACTGCTAAGGGGACGCCACAGGCTTACAAAAAGTTCATGACCCAAGACGGAGTTTAGGTTTGTGCCAGTAATTATTGTGTTCCCTGAACATCCGAAGAACAGCGAACAAATCTGACAAGCTTCCGAATAAAACATCGCCGATAAACGCAGTAAGAGAAAACACGCACCCACCCATGCGCACATACACGACTTCTTACTGAGGGGTCGACAGAGTAAGGGTTGGGGGAGAATCATAACCCTGACAAATCGGGCGTCCGGGAGCAAGGCATATACCCAGCTGGCTGCGGCAGGATCGGCGCAGGAACGGCGCCATATCTCGGTTCGGCAAAGATCCTTTGTTTTGTTAAGCTTTTATAGTATATAAGGTTAGGGTTACGGGATTACCGCGTTAATCGGGTGAGCGGGCTGTTTGGGGTTAAACAAGTGGGCTGAAAGGGTTTAACGGTTTCAGGCCTGGGGGGGCGTAAGCTTTGAGACTTAAGCATTGCCGCGGCTGCACAGTAGCAGTACTACAAGGACCAAACCTCAAGCCTGCGATGCACCCTGAAGAGACTTGCAACACGACCATTAGCCAGGAGACTTGGATTCATCCTTCATTTTATTCCCATCCCCCATGAGTCCTGAACCTGAAGGTTCGAGATCCAAACACGAGCAAACAGCGGAAATCTGGGATCATGCTCAGGAGCTGTATATACACATGCACACTTACATAAATCATGCAGACATACAGACATGCAGACATATAGACAGAGATACGTAAAGACAGGCAGACAGACAAAGACACAGAGAGAGAGACACACAGACAAAGACGCAGAGAGACAGACAGACTGACAGGCAGGCAGACTTACGTATAAAACCGTCTACACGCATAATTTCTTGCATGTATTATGCTTCTATACATAATATACACATAAGCCCGCTATCCGTTGCCTGGAGTAGATGCCCTAACAAGAAACGGTTGATCTCTCTCACACACCCTAAGGGTCCATGTACTCATATAGTATATAAATTGGCCTTAAAGTACTCCCTATATAGGTACATTGGGCCCAAAGTATATGCTATATGGGTACATGGACCCTTAAACCCTAAACTCTAAACCCTAAACCTACCCTTAAAGGAACCCTTATGGTGCCCTTAAAGGAACCCTATTTGGGCACATGGATCCTTAGGGACACCAGCTTCGAGTCCCTCCGTAGCTCTGGGAGACGCACCCATAGGAGGGGCTGAAGGTCCCGGTCCCAAGCCTCTGCTGAAAGCTCGTACTACAAGGGACCTTAGCCTTAATAATAATAATAATAGTAATAATAATAATAAAATAATAAAAATAATAATAATAATTATAATAATAATAATTATAATAATAATATCAATAATAATAATAATAATTGGAACAAGGCTTTTGGGGTCCATTATACTATGATTATAATAAGGAAGCCCCGAAATAGTGTTGGTATTTATTTTGGCCCCTATAGTACGTGACAGTCGTACTTGCACTTCAAAGTTGTACGCGAAACAACTCTAGTCCAAAGCACCTGCGACAGTAGTTGACGTGCTTTTAGCAGCATAAACCATAAACAAGCGAAAAATCCTTAAAACCCTAAACTTGTGGGAAAAAGTCCTGCGTCCCGAATAAACCAAAACCCTAAACCTTAAACCCAAAACCCTAAACCCAAAACCCTAAAACTTGGAGAAGAATACCACAGGTTGACGGTTTTGGAAAATGACACAGGACATGTGGGTGGTTGTCAAAATTAGGGTCCGTTTTTTTGGGGACCCTAAATATGAAGGGGCCGTACTATATATTAAGGACCCTAATTTTGACCACCACCCATGTGTTCAGGGTTTAACAGGAGCTGGAGCCACGGTGAAAGACGAAGTGACTTGGGGTCTTTGCAATTGCTGAGTTACAGCCTTTTCTACATCGGGTGCTAAACCGTCCACGCAGCACAAACTCTAACCCTTGACCTGAGGCACCAAAACTTCCCAAACAAACCAGGGACCCTTGAGGCATCCACGGCTGCACATATGGATTCTGCACCACTGGCAGAGTGGCAGTCCTCGTGAAATGACTCCACCGGGTGAAACCAGCTACTTGGTCAGGGGGACTGTCCCAAAGTGAGACGAGAGGACTCCATTCAACAATGCTCGATTTCTATCACTTGTGGAGCTGCATTGACACATAATGGTCGCACATGGTCGTAGTTAACTTGGCTGGGTACTTTGACCATTGGACTAGTGCAATATGCATCCTCATAAACAACATATGTAAGGTTCACAAACCTCACTAAACACTATATCCAGTACGGTACTTTGGGAATCGCCGGCTTCCTGCTACTCTGATCTACGATCGTCTCTGTTGCCCTCAGGGGATCAGCTTGCTCCCAAAGGCTCCCACTGCAAAGAGGCCCTAAAACTCACTAAATCCTAAACCTAAACCGCAAAGTTTCGGGTACATGTCGCTCAAACCCCTCAAACCCTCCAACCTCACAGTTCAAGAGCTTGAGGTGCAGGATTCGAGGCAGCAAGGCTTTCAGATTCATTATAGCATTCTGAAGGTGATATTGTATAAATTATTATTGGTATGATCATTGTTGTTGTATTTTCAAGTACTTGTAACTACCAGTATACATAAGATGCATAGTGGTAAGTACACACGCATCTGTATAGTATTATTATTATCACAAGTCCCTTGACCGGAGCCAGGCGTTGAGCATCCGACGGCTGCATGTACGTCACGGGCTGCGAATACGGCAGCGGAGTGGTCCTGGATCTGTGGCCGGAGCATGGGAGTTTTCGAAAAGAGGGGACCCTCATCTATAGAATCCTTAATAGGAGGATCCGTATTATAAGGACCCCAAAATAGGGTACCCCTACTTTTCGGAAACTCCACATCTGTTTGTCTTTCCCATGAGGGCCTCGCGAGACTCAGGGTTCGGGATCTTAATAATATGTGTTCAGGGTTTAGGGATTAGGGGCTATTGGGCTTCAGGGTTTTAGGGTTTAGAGTTTAGGTTGAGAGGCTGGTTTTGAACAACTAAATACACCCTTACTATACCCTAAACCCTAAACCCTAAACCCTAAACGGCCAATGCACTCATCTCAGGTCTTAAACCCTCAAACCTCAGCCCTTCATGAAAGCCGATGCTGTAAACTTTGCCAGCTTAGGAAACTTTAAGGATTATGGGGAAGGTGGGGTTAAGGTTCAGGGGTTGAAGGTTTAGGGTTTAGGGTAGGCAACGGGTCTTTCAGCTGATTCGATCGACGGTCTGCAAATTTATGAGCTGTCGAAAATCACTACGTATACTTTAGAAGCTGCCCCCACCCTGTAATAGTGACTATAAGGATTATATTAGGGCCCTATTATATTCCTATTATACCACTATAACAGGGTGGGGGCAGCTTCTAACGTATACTACACCCGGAGACCTCAAACAAGAAAGCAATCAACGCCCAACCCGGCGCCTTGCAATCCTCATGCCGCTACTTGAGAGCCGCAGCCCTCACAAACCCTTGAAGCACGAAGCCCTTCAACTACGTGGGCAGTTCTCTACATTAGGAGCGCCCAAGAACATGAAAGCCGAAACCTTAAAATCCCTCGAACCGTAATAAACCCCATATGTACAGCCCCGAAGCCTGAAACCCGAACTTCCGAAGACTGGAATTACGGTTGATGATATAAGCCCTGCATTACCCATAATAAGGAATATCCCATAATTCCCACAGTTTAGGGTGTTTAAGGTAATGCAGGATTTATATCATCAACAGTATTGTCTGCTGAGGGTATGCAGACATCGACTTTGCACTTGGAGTTCGGCTTCCACAAGCCCTTTCACAAGCTCCCTGCCGAAGCGGTGCACTCAGTGCATCGAAGTTGCGCCGGCGACATTGCGGCCGGCTGGTAATACCTTCGCAGTCTCGTCTTTCCATGTTGAAGGTCCGAGACCCTAGAGCCCAAACCTGAAAATTCAACTAGGGCCTAAGCTCTAAACCCTAAACCCTTCAGCCCTATAACCACTGCAACTCCTAAACTAAAGCCGAATTATTCATCCGGATTTCGGGCTCTAGGGCTTCCTTGGCTTCCTGAGGCTTCGTTCGAAAGCCGTTTTTTGTCAAACCGACGTCTCTTGAAAAAATCTCGAACTCTGAAGCTGAAGCTCTCCGGACTTCTTTGTTGAGGCCTTGGCCCCAAAGGCCATACGGTTGATGATAGAAATCCTGCATTACCCATAATGAGGAATATACTATAACTCCCAGAGTCTAGGGTCATCAAGGTAATGCAGGATTTTTATCATCCACCGTAGGGCTGCGGAACCCTGAGCCCGAAAAACTAAGGAATTGCCGACTGGAGGGGATCTTCTGAAGCCTAAGGTACTGATATACCCTGCAGTCTAATCCCCTTTACACCAGAAACTCAAGGACCCTAGGGTTTAGGGTTTAAGGGTTTAGGGTTTAAGGCCTTAGGGTTTAGGGGTTTAGGGTTTTAGGGTTTAGGGTTTAAGGGTTTAGGGTTTTAGGGCTTAAGGGTTTAGGGTTAAGGGCTTAAGGGTTTAAGGGTTTAGGGTTTAGGACAGAAAGTAAGTGCTAGCATGTAGCTGCCAGATAAGGACCCTTCAATCTTCAGAAACCCGAAACCTGAACCCCTAGATCAAGGTACCTCTAATCTCCTAGACCCCAAACATCCACAAACCGTAAACCTCTACTTCAAGGCACCTCTAATCTTCAGTAGACCAAGCCCTTTGAGCCTCAAGGCAAACCCTGCTCGCAGGCTCCAAGGACGACATGCTTAAATAACTTTGGCTTTAGTGTTCAGGTTTCAGGGCTTAGAGGTTTCAATTTCCTGCAGGCTGCCCCGCCATGACCCTCCGTGCATCCAAGCTGCGCCGTCGACATTGCGGTCGGCTGACAATACATGGTGACTAAAGCTCTACTAGGGACCCTGGCCCTTACCCCAAACCTGAAAGCAACACAATCCCGTAGGAGTTCGGTAAACAGTACTGTCAACTTCAACTCCTCTGGGGCTTCCTGCAACATGCCTACGAGTACAGAGTAAATTCTTTTGGGGTTTTGGGTTGCTAGGTTTAGGTTTCAGGCTTCAGGGTATAACGCAAGCCTCAACGACTACCCAGGCAGTGCCCCATTGGCTTAGCATGTGGTGTAGTCGGGTTTGGGGCGGTCGACGGCCCAGCTGCGAGCCAAGTCGGAGGACGCGAACAAGCCGATAAGTTACTGGCCCTGAAACTGGACACTGAATCGATCATGGAACGTAGCTTCTCGGATTACAGGTAAGTGCAGTTGCACTTACAACATTACAACTTGCTAAGTACCATGATGCGTTTACAGCACTTGAGCCCACCAGGCCACTTAGCTGTATGGCGGCAGGTCCTGCTGAAGCTACCGGAAGATTTCTCTGCCCCCTGCCCCCTGCTTCCCCTGCTCCCCGCAAGACTTTCATCAGGAACATTTGACGACTCTTGCGCCACTAGCCAGCCGCTCGGTCATCGGCTCCCTTGCTGTCTCTTTGGGCATCAACCCCGTGCTCAGGAAGCCGCCCGCGATCTTCATTGCAGCCAAGGAGAGCAGGCAGCTTGCAGCTGTGAGGCGATGTACTTGATGGCCAGATACTTTGAGTGACAAAACCGACATCGAATTCATAACGGCCGAAGCAGTACTGAAGGCCTTGGCTCTCAGATCTGTCGGGAAGGCCTCAAGTGTCCACATCTGCGCTGACTCCCACGCAAAGCACCGACATGTTGAAGCCAACATGCCACAGAGCACTGCGAAATAGTACTGATGCGGTTCACGAGCATCCAAGATTCCGACGATCGCAAGCAGCATGCCCTGGAGGAAGAAGCCTATGACAAAGCTACCACCCCTTCCGATGCGGTCCACAATCAAGATGGAGATGGCGACGCCGCAGAGGTCTCCCACATTGAAGAGCATCAGGATGTGTGTAGGCAGCTCAGGGGAGTCTGGTGCTAGGAGGGTATGGTACAGCCCGGGGCCCCAGGTGTCAAGCAAAACGGTGGTAGAGGCCAAGACCGCGAAAAGCAGGCAAGCAAAGAGCAGCAAGTGACGGCTGCCTCTGCTAAACAGCCTCGACCATGTCCTACCCTCATCCGGTGGCCCAGCATTGGCACTGGCTTTGTCCAGGCACAGTTGGGAGCACGGTTTCCATGGCCCCTGCCGGTTGCTGGCATACAGCCTGGTCAGTACGTCGTTGGCCTCACTCAACCTACCCGAGGCCACCAAGAAACGCGGAGACTCCGCGGAAAAGTGCATGACTATGAAGAGCGCCGAAAACCCGAGAGCATTCAAGGCCATGAATAAGCTCCAGTCTTCCTTGGCAATGGAAGCCGTGAGGATCACGGCAGCCCTTCCAAGAGGCCAGCCAAGGCTGTACACCGCCATAAGGGTGCCACGGTAGTTCGTGGGCAGGAACTCGATGTACCAAGTGCTGAGCGCAGCTCTTGAAATTGCTATCACAACGGACTGCAATATCCTTAGCCCAAGCAAAATCCGCAAGGAAGGAGCGACTATGCTTGCCAGGCTTACAGCAACAGCCATTGGGCTCGCGAATACCACAAAGCCTCGGCGGCCGAGTCGATCCAAAAGGAAGGTGGCCGCCACGGAACCCACAACACAACCCAGGGGAAAGGCAGCCGCGAAGCTAGCGATGCTCTCATCATCTGCATCAAAGCCCTTCCGCAACCCAGGGAACAGGTATGGAGTGCATTCCTGAGTCATGGCCAGGACCGCCCAGAACAGCATCATCCGCAGCAAATGGCCGGCATGAAAAGATCCCACGACCAAAGCGTCCAAGGCTTCTGTGACGGTCACAGCGTCGCGGATGCCATCTTCTGCACATGCTGCCATGATATATTATACCGTATGTGTGTGATACTGTATCTTGTATGCTATATTGCTATATATCATGCATGTGCTACTCCGAGGATCCCTCCGGGGTACTTAAAGTGTTCTTCACGGTCTGCTATAAGAGTAGTTCTCTTAGCTAAGCTCCCTTTTAGGGTCCTTTTCTATAATAAGGGTGCCTGCCGTACGACTGTTGGGACCCAACAGGGGCCCTAATTTAGAGAACTACCTATAAGGCCTCTATGGAAAGTATCCTACGCATGGAGCCTGCTGAAGCTGCCGGCCAATCACCCAGAGACTCCAATATCCCTTAATTCAGGAATATACCTTAAATTATAGTAGGACCCCGAATCTGACTTAAGGAATATTCCTTAATTAAGGGATATTGGAGTCCCCCCAACCCTGAACCCTATAGATCCCTTATAGGAACCCTTGAGGGAACCCTAGCTATTCCTTAATTAAGGGATATTGGAGTCTCTGAAACAGCCTGATTTCCCAGGGCTTCAACGCCCTGGAAAGTTTAGGGCCGAGGCACCCGGAGCCAAATCTTGAGCTCCATGTAGCCGTATGGAGCCACACAGCGGTTTAGGGTTTAGGGTTTTGGGTTTATAGCATATACTCTGGCCCTAGAGTGTAGTGAATATCTAAGTCTATATAAGTCTCAACGCCAAAGTATAAACTATAATGCTATATGGGTGCATGGACCCTTAGGGAAACGGCTTCCAAGACCCCAATGCACAGCACGTTTTGAAGATTCGGCAGCTCATGCCGCTGCACTCCACTGCCTTGAAAATTTGAAAAGGATGAGCAGGAAAATGCGACAGGCCCAGTTTGGTGCCTCCGGCTCCCAGGATGTAAAGCTTCGGGTTTAGGGTTGAGGATTACGCAAGAGAACGCTTCCAGGTATACCTGACTCTAAACCTAGGTTAAACCATTAACATAGGAACCCTTAACAGTTGGAACAAGCTTTTAGGACACATTCCGTAAGGAGCCACCCAAAAAGGTAACTATTCAAGACCCCATATTACGCCCTGAACCTTACACCTCAGATCTCCCAGCCTTGCATGCTGACTCGTTACTAGGCACCGGTAATGTCTCGTTCTTGGCCTGGTTCTTCCGCGATGGGACCTAGAACCTTAAGGACGACATGAACCCTAAAAGGGTTTAAGGTTCACATACCATATAGGGGTTCATGGTATACGGGAATAGGGCCCCTACTTTCAGGGTCATTGCGTCCTTCAGGAAATACAAAAGAGCACCTAAGCCAACCGAGAAACTCGCTAGTAACCTTGAGCTGACTCAACCCTAGCATATTGGGATTATCTAGGGATCATGGCACCCCAAACAAAAGGCTGAAGGCTACCTACTCCAATAGAAAGAACCGCTTCGTGGGAGCCTGAGGACCCGAACCTGAGCTTCTCAGCAACCCATCACGAGACGAAGACCAGGAACCTGCCAGGGTGTGGTTTTTTTTTTTTTGTGTGTTTTTGAGTGCTTAGGGTTTAGGGGCTCCTTTTTGGGGTCTGCATGAGGCGTCACTCAAGAGCCTACCATGGGGCGAGCACGGATGTGCATGTAGGCTTTGAGGCTTAGGGGCTTAGGGGTTTGGGGGCTTCGGGTTTTGGGGTTTACGGTTCAGGGGCTTAAAGCTCCAGGGGTGAAGGGCTCGGGGGTTGAAGGTTTAAGGCTTAGGGTTTGGGGTTTAGGGGTTACAGGGAACTCCAGAAAGTTGGAATATGGTTTCATGGTAGGATACCCTATAATTTACCATAGAAGGGTTAGGATAATCATATTCCAACTTTCTGGCTTCTACCTTAGGGGCTGAGGCTTTAGGGGCTTCGGGTTTAGGATTTACGTGCGGGATCATGCGACTAAGTAACTAGGGTCATGAATAAGGTAACTCTATCGCTATAGCGGTGCATAAACCCGAATGAGGTACTTATATCCTTAACTACTAGCCATGTCGTCATTAATTATGTCCCATGATCCTCCAAGTAAGGTTTTGGTTTCCAGGCCTGTTATACAATCACTTCAGGGACTCGAAGACTCCAAAACCCCAACAGTTGAAGTTGAGGAATATACGTCAAATTATCAGAGGAATCTTGAATATGGGTTCAGGTATGTTCCTTAATCAAAGGGGTTTGGGCTGAGAGACGGATCATATGACAGTTTGGAGGGTTAGGCCTAGCGATTGGGTTCAGGGCTGAAGGATTTCTAAAGCTAGGGGTTGAAGGATTCTGTAGAGTGTTGGTCGGTCCGATACCACGAGGGAGAGTTCGCACGCAGAGCTACATTTTTTGCACTGTCAGCCTGGATTGGGCCGGATGGGTTGGGGGGATGATGGTCGTCTAGACTTACAGAAAATACAGCGCCCGTTGTACCATTAACCCCTATGGTCTCTCAGCTTGTTTACAATTACCTTGGAGGACGTGTGAGCTCACTGAGCCCCAACAGCCCTAATACAGGAGCCTTAATAGTTAGAATTGAGTCTTGGGGCTCATTTTACCTTTATAGTAAGGAACCCACAAAATGGTATTGATAATTATGTAGGCCCCTATATTGAACCGCTTCTCCCAAAATCAGACTTTTCGCAAACAAACAATGATCTCCTAAACTCGAAACCCAGAGACTCTAACATCCCTTAATTAAGAAATATACCTTAAACCATAGTAGGAACCCGAAAATGATTCAAGAAATATTCCTTAAATAAGGGATATTGGAGTCCCCCATCCCTGAACCCTTTCAATCCCTTTTTGGAACAAGGGGACCCTAGGTATTCCTGGGATGTTGGAGTCTCTGGAACCCTCAAACCATCTCAAACCCAACCCTTTCTCCGAGCCCCCCTCCGCCTAACCCCTAAACCAGAAAATCCGCTAAACCGAAACCTCCTAAACCCCTACTTAAAGGATCATGGGACGTAGTAATTAGGGTTATAGGAACGGTAACTACAGTTATGATTACATGTAACCCCAATTAAGGTACTTATAACCCTACTTACTAAGTCCCATGATCCTCCAAGTAAACCACCTGGTAAACCCCCC